AAGAGCTCAATTGGTCTCTATGAAAACAAGGGCATATTTGCCACTTCCTTCATCCCATCCCTCCCTCCACCTAGCCAAATGCTGTCTAGAGCCATCTTCTTCCTATCACCTGAGGAACCAGAACTTCCCCCAAGGGATGAGCAGGGTTGGGCAAGGGCAGGAGGGAGGGGAGGCTGTCTCATGTGCTGACTCTGATCAGGTAAGCTCCCTCACTTCCTCTCTTTCCCAGATGTTTAGCTCTCAGAATCTCATTACCCAAATGTTCCAAGCTCTCCCCCTCCCCTGACCCCCACATCTTTTTTCCCCTCAGCTGTGCAGCTTTCCTCTTGCTCTCTTGCAGATGGGTGGTGCCACTTTCCAGTTCCTTGTTTTCTCCAGTTATTTGGATGACCTCCCTCTTCCCAGACACCTGCCACCAACCTCTCTTTTTCTTCTGATAATTTTGCTGTACCTCCAACTTTTCATTTTCCAGAAGTGGCTGGAGAGCTCTTTCATCTTTCTCTGCCCCCCAAACATGTACCCTCTCTAATGTGATGCAATTCCACTCCCTAAGCCACCTCTCTGTATTTCTTCCACCAACTCTACAGACCCCCCTGTGATATGCTTCCCCTCTTCTCTTTCCCCTAGATGTATAGGCTTATCTTCTGTTCCTTTAAAGTTGCCAGGTACCTCATCCCCATCTGTGATCTCCTCAAGGTGGGTGGGGTCCCCTTCTCCCACCCTGTGGACTCTCTTCTTGCCATTTTAGGCTGCTATCTCTCAAATACATAGAGCCTCCCTTACCATTTCTGTGTCTCTGTCCCCTAGATGTACGGGGACCCCCTATGCACCGAACCCAATATGTTCATTCCCCGTATGATCGTCCTGGTTGGAACCCTCGGTTCTGCATCATCTCGGGGAACCAGCTGCTCATGCTGGATGAGGACGAGGTGAGCAGGGTGAGAAAGTTGGGAAAAGACCTCTGGGTAGCATGGGAGAATGTGGAGAGGAAGATGGGGAAAATCTGTATTAGTTTAGGGGAGAGAGAGAAGGCAGACAAAGAAGAGAAACATTTGCGAGCAGTGGGAGGATGGTGACCATTGAGATTTGGGTTGAGGTGTGATAAAAGGGGCATTCATTCCCTCACCTTGACCAGGGGGTCTTTAAGAACTGTGTTCGGTGTTGGAGAGATGTGGTTCTGAAAACCTGGAGAATATCTACTGTTTTCAGTCTGCCCATGTTGTGGGATAGGTTAGAAAGGGAAAGGGAAAATGAAGGGCTTGGAGAAGGGGTGAAGAATGGGAAGACCTCACCTCCAAAGAGATCCTTGAGAACCCTCTCCCCTCTGCCTCCTGATAGGGCAGAATGGAGGGAGAGGGAATTGAGGGGCCCAGAGAAAAATCAGAGGACAGATAAGTGTGTGTAACTGGAAGAGGGCTGGAGGGTGCTGGGAGAGATGATGGAAGTCAGCGGATCTTGGCATGGATGGGGGTGAAGACTGGAAGGGTGCCTGAGATCTGGAGTTCAGAGAAATACTGAGAGGGCTTCACCAGGGACTGGATGGATAGCAAGAGAGAATATAAGGAGAGGTCTGAGGATGAGGGGAACTGGGAGTGTGGGGAGTTGCCTAAAGAAGTAAGAATGAGGTAGGGGACAGGGACTAGCTAGAGTGAAGGATATAAAATAAACACGATCCTTGTGGGAGGTGGTGGCCATGCAGAGTGATTTGAGAGCCAGGGGACAGTTGGTTTTGATATGGGAGCTGGGTCAGCAGAGGAAACAGGGGATGCAGATATGAAAGGTGGACACCTCAGGAGTATGATTCAAAGAGTAGAGATGATTTGGGGACCAGCAATAGAGAGAGGTAGAATAGCCTGGGAGACCAGAGAGATGTCCCCTAAAAGCTGTTGGGAAGGGTGTGGTAAGGCAGGGATAGAGTTCGGGCTAGGGTTAACCAAGGTGTTCAGGGGGCTGGGGGCAGAGAGGGGGACAGGTGAGAGTGTAGAGAAATGGCTGGGTGGAAGGTATCAGGCCTAGGGGAGAATGTGGTGACTTTGAAGGGAAAGGGGGTGGTGGTGTCTAAGTTTTGGGCATTGGGGGGCATTTGAATGATTCACCAGTGGTCACTGGCTTTGACCAGAGGTTTGGGGTCTATAGGATGAATTGGGGAAACTGAAACCAATAGGAATGGTTACTGTTGGGAGGATGGAGAGGGAGGATCAATGGTTGGGGTAATGAAGGAATGGCAGAGATGAGGATGGGTCAAGGGGGTCAGTAAAGTGGGTACACTGGCCAGAGAGCTGAGGAGCAACAGGAGCGGCCAGAGTCTGCAGTAAGAAGGTGTGGGTGGGGCAGGGGAACCAGGTGGAAATGGGAAGGTGAGCAGTTGGAATTAGATTTGTTGTAGAAGTGGAACCGGGGGCTAGTGAGGGGTGGGGGTCTTCCTGTGGCTCCTGGTTGGAGTGGAGGAGGTTGGAGGATTGGAGATGGGTGGAGGTTGGGAAGAAGGTGGTGAGAGGGAGTTGGGGGCAAGGCTTAGGGAAAGGTAACGGGATAAAGGGAAGAAGGGAAGTGAGAGAGGCTGGGTGGAGGTGATGGAAGGAAATGAAGGGTGGGGGGAGGTGACCAGGCCCTCTTGGGGGAGGGGAGGTTGGGTCCCTGGCTGGCCGAACGCCGGGCGTGGGAGGGAGACAAGCTGTGGATCCTGATTATAAATGCAGCTTCTGCTACCCCTGTGACAGGCATGGAGGGAGAGAAGGTAGTGAGGGAGGTGGGAGGTTGGGAGGGAAGCTGGGAGAACAGAGGAACTGAAGGTCAAGGGGAAACTGGATTCCGGGAGTAGCTAACTCCTGAGGGGTTGTGGGAAGAGCTTAGTAGGGTTTGGGAGAATTCTCTGAACAGTGTTTCAACAGAAATGGAGGGAGAAAGGAGTAGGGTGGCACGGGAAAGAATGAGAGAGACTGGGGCAGAGAACGGTAAGAGAAACCCACTTAGAGACACACACACACACACACACACACACAAAGTGTGGAGGGGCAGGTGGCACAAGGTGGGCAGGCCGGTGAAAAGGGATGCCCATCCTTCCTGGAGGAGGGGAAAGGCAGAGGAGAAAAGCTTCGGCCAGGGAGGTCTGAAACATACCCCCATCCCCTAGATACACCCCCTTCTGATCCGGGACCGGAGGAGCGAGTCCAGTCGCAACAAACTGCTGAGACGCACAGTCTCCGTGCCGGTGGAGGGGCGGCCCCACGGCGAGCATGGTACGGCGGCCGAGCAGGCTCTCGTGCCCCGGACAGTCTCGCGGAGAGGGTTGAAGGTGGACCGGGCTGGCGGGGGAAGGGGGAGGGACTGGCAGGGGAAGGGGGAGTGGGGGAACGGAGGGATATGCCAGGGGGCGGGAGGGGGCGGAGACCAAGTCTCGCATCCTGGGAGTGGGATCCTGGGAGTAGAAGGCGCCCGCCTCTGGGATCTGGAGCTGGGTAGGGGCTGTGGGTGAGAGGCCTCAGTGGGTCTCTGCTCTGCCTCGCTCCCTTTTACCACTCCAGCAGCGAAGTTTGACTGTTTTCCTGGTGCTTGTAAAAATAGTCTACTTAGATCTTTCGCTTCCTGTCCGAGTGTTCCTGTCCCTGCTCCTCCCAGTCCTTAGTCTGGAATCTTGGAGAGAATGACCCAGTTCCTGCCCTGCCCCCAGACATCTCTAGGCTCCTGATTCTTCTTCCAAACCTTCAGTCCTGTGGTTCCCGCCCCCCTCCCCTTTTCTTGCCCCCTTTTTTCCCTCTTCTCAACTGCTTCTATTTTCTGCAATTCAGTCACCCCCTTTCTTCTCCAATTTCTCTTATTTTTTTTTACCCTCTAGGCCCCCCTTCACCCCTCTGCTCCCGTCAGAACTCCATCAGACCCCCATCTCATCTTCTTTCTGTCTGTAGAGCTATCAGCTCAGTCTGTCTCTCCAACTCTCTCCCTCTCTCCATCTGTCTCTTCCCTTCCCTCCCTCTTTCTGCCCCCCCTCCACCCCCCTCTTTAGTCATTTAAAAAAAGATTTTTGTCTTCCTGAGAAGTTCGCTTAAAAGGTTTCCATGGGAACGGTGAGGGGAGATGAAGGCAGAGAACAGGGATCTGCAGCCAAGGTGCAGAGAGACGCCCTCATCCCCCGGAAGCCCCCTCATCACTGCCCCCTTCCACTGCATTCCCCTTCCAGGACCAGGGATCCAGGCTTCCATAACCCCCATCCCCTGCGTGGACCCTTTCTCCCACCAGCTCTACTTCCCCTCAGGGATCCAGACTTCCAGTGTCTCTCCCGGTAGAGAAAACCATGGCCTGTCCGCATCCCTTGGCTCCCTCTATCCTTCTTCTAATAGCCCCAGCCCTCAGTGCCTTGGGGGCCAGCTCTAGGACCTTAGGGGGGGTGGGTAGCTAGGGATGTGTGTCACCGTCTTGGAAACCTCTGACCATGGGGGTGTGTGGGTAGCACATCTCTGTGAGCAAAGCCAGGTGGTGGTGGTGATGGTGGTGGTGGAGTGTGTATGAAGTATGTATGTGATGTCTGTCACATCTGTGTGTGTCATGTCCATGTCTGGTAAAGGCATGTGTGTGTGCACGCCTGCATACCTGTGTGCCCAGGCCAGGATGTTCACATGTTCACGGAGCATGTTTATCATGTGTCTCTGTGATTGGTGCCTCTGCTCCCATATTCTCCATCTTTCTCCTTTCCGAGTCCTCAGGGTCTGGGATTTCTGGCCTGGTCTCCTGTGTGTTTTGGGTGGGGGTACCCGTGTGTGTTTGGAGTTGAGGCTGGTATATGGAGGTTGCTGTGTTGGGGTTCAATAGGGGCTGATAGTGCAGGAGTATATATATTTTGGGGAAGGTTTAGTGAAAGAGTTCATAGGTGGTGAACCTTCGGGGTCTTCAGAGGGTCGCAGGATTTGTAAAGGGCATGGGGGGATGTTCAGGGGACATCGGGGTCATTTGGGCCTTGGGGGCGCATCTGGATGGGTGTATGCTGAGGCATTGGACGCTCGAGCCCGGGAGAGGTCGCGCCGGGAGAGGTCGCCGGACCTTTGAGGGGTATTGGAATTCAGGGATCCTCCTTTGCTGCGTGGAGCCGGCAGCCCCTCGGTGTTGCCTTCTCTGTTTTGGCGGGTGGTCCTGCTTAGAAGGGGATGGTGGGAGGCCGGGTTGGTTTTGGGGGTCCCCTCGCCCCCCTCCCCCGTCTCTCTTGCGCCGTCTCTGGGCGACGGGGCTCGTGACAGAGGCGGCCACGGCAGCAGCGGTCGCCTAGCAACGGCGGCGGGGC